CCAGAGTCCACCAGAGGCGGCCATGTTTTTAATGTGTCCCCGTCCAAGGCAAATAAAAGTCCTCATATAACTATAGCACACAGAAAGCACACAAACACCCCAAACTCGCGACGCGATCGACCACAACTTCGAGGCACCCGCCGCCCGCGCCAGGGGGAGGAGGAAGAGGAGGAGGAGGAGGAGGAGGAGGAAAAGGAGGAAGGACGATGATGATGAGGAGGAGGAGGAGGGGGAAGAGGTCGCTGATAATGCGCAACATGGTTCTAATCACGTTGAAACATGTTGGGAGAGGAGGAGGAGAAGGAGGAGGAAGAGGAGGAGGAGGAGGAGGAGAGGGGGGGGGAGGAGAAGGATGAGCAGGTGGGGAAGGAGGAGGAGGAGAGGAGGAGCAGGGGGATGAGGAGGAGGAAGGAGGAGGCGGAGAAGGAGGTCGCTGAGAATGCGCACCATGATTCCAATCACTTTGAAACATGTTGGGTGTGGAGGTGGGAGAAGGAGGGGGACGAGGGGGGGGGGGGGGGGGGGAGGAGGGGAGGAGGAGGAGGAGGAGGAGGAGGGGAGGAGGAGGAGGAGGAGGAGGAGGAGGAGGCAGGAGGAGGAGGAGGAGGAGGAGGAGGGGTGAGAGGGGGGCCGACGGCGCCCATTGTGTTTCTTATGGCAGGGGTACACATTCCAACTACCAGGCGGCGCTTGCTCATCCTGCACAGAGATCGCGGCCCTCGAGATTGTCGGTCCTGTTTGTTGTCGGTCGGGTCCCTCGGTCGGCTCTGTCTGGGGTGCTGGGTTTTCCCGTCCCTCGCTCCCTTTTCGGCCCTTCGGGCCCTTCGGTCGATCGTCGTTCTTGTCGTCAGCCCACGAGCGAATCAACTCTTCCCCTTCCTCCCTCTTCCCTCCCCCTCATCCCCCCTCCGTCCCTCCTCCTCCTCCTCCTCCTCCTCCTCCTCCTCCTCCTCCCTTTCCTCCTCCCTCCCCTCCTCCCTCCTCCCCCCTCCCTCCTCCCTCCCTCCTCCTCCTCCTCCTCTTTTGCCATTAGGCTCACACCTTGAGCTGGGTTGCACAGGCGCCTTATGGAGGTTCCCATGGAGGTTCCAGTGCAGATCCCGATGGCACTTCCTAGGGGGATCCCTATGGTGATTCCCATGGAGATTCCTCTGGGGATTCCTATGGCGTTTCCGATGGAGTGTCCCATGGATATTCCTGTGTATATCCCGAGGGAGATTCCGATGGATATTATTGCTGCGATTCCTATGGAGATTCCCATGGAAATTCCTACGGATATCCCTACATGTGGAGATTATTGTGGGGATTCCAATGGAGATTCCTTTGGAATCCCCAATGGAAAATCTCATAATGCGGGCCGACGACGCAAGATCTGACCATTCGGTGCCCTCAGAACTCTAAAGAAAAGTTAAGGTTATGGGCGCGCACATGGCACATCACTTTCAGCCCTGAACTTTTTATGGGCACTGCCCATAGCGCTGCAGAGCTGATTTCATACAAGTGCTACGCGGGCTGAGCACAGTCGAGTGGGCTGGGGCGAACTAAGGGCAGACTAAGTGCAGGCAAACTAAAGGCAAACTAAGGGCAGACTATGTGCAGGCACTATTGGCGCTATGGGCAGCGCACATAAAAAGTTAAGGGCGGAAAATGATGTGCTATGTGCGCGCCCATAACCTTAACTTTTCTTTAGATTTCTGAGGGCACCGGATGGTCAGGGAAAGCGCCCCAATTGGGGTATTCTGGTTTTTTGTTCGGGGGAGTCGGGGCAATTCCCACTCGGGGGAGTGGGCATGCAACGTGCGAGCTGTCTTTGATTGGTGTGCAATTTTCGTCGGGCGGGTTTGGGCATGTTTGTGTCACTTCAAGATGTGTGTGCGAGCACATTGGGTCACACTTTTCGCTTGGTGGAAGGGGGTACAATTGGGTTACGGTTTTCGGATGATGGTAGGTAGCATGTGGCGCTCCATGCGGATGTCTTGGATCCGCGGTGCGCCCCCCCGCGGCGCCTCGGCGCCGCCCCTGGCGCCGCTCCGCGCGCTGGGGAGGGGAGCCTGGCGAAGATCCATGAAATCCGCGCGGAGCGCCAATAGTTTATGTTCATGGCGTTTCTTCTTTTTCTTCTTTTTTTTATTTTTCTTCTTCTGCGCCCGCGCCCCAAAATGTTCGCACCGCGGCCCCGAGACTTACTCTCGCTCCTCCGGAAAAAGCAGCGCTGCTCCTGGCGCTGCGGCCGCGCGGCCCTCTGGGCCGCCCTGTCTGGCGGGGGCGCCCCGGTCTGCCCCCTCTGCGCGAGGCCGCGCGCCCCATCTTGCAGTCGGGGGCCCCGCGGGGGCGAGGCTGAGAGCCAGGAGGGAAAAAAACACGCAGACAAGGAGAATGGTCGACTCCCGGGAAGACCCTGGAAAATATGGGAAGGGGGGGAGGGGGGGAAATTCGATCTCGACCCTCTGGAAGAGCCGCGCGGCTCGTGGTCTCGCGCGCCGCGCTGCTCGCGCCGAGCCCGCGGAGAGGGGCCAGAGCCCCGGGGCCCGGCCGGTCGCCCCCGCGGCGTGCCCTGCCCGACCTTTTTTGCGCCGTGCGCGCAGGTCCCCGCGAAGTCTCCGGAGGGAGCAAACGCACACAGTCAAGCAGTGGCGAAGCGTCCCGGCTCGCCTATAGCCCCACCAAACAATGTTCTAAGAACCTTTTGTGGTTCCCACGAAATGTTCTTGGAACATGTTTATCACATCGGGCTTATGTTTAAGAACGTTGCTTGGTTATGAGAACATTGTTGGGTTCTAAGAACATTTCGTGGTAGGGCTATAGGAATGCCGGGACTGTCGGTCCCTGCTCAAGGACAGTACAGTCGGGGCGCTGAAGAAGGAACCCTTTTCGTTGGGGAGGGGCTCCGTGTTCCTCCATTGTTTTACACTGTGCCTTGGGTTGTCCTCCGGTTTGCCATGGGCAATCGAAGCTCAACTGATGGAAAAAAGGGGCCTCGTTTATTTAATCGCTTCGCTCATTCCGCCGGCCCATATTGTCGCACCGTTGTGGGCTAGCCGAGTTTTGGGGCCTCTTGGGGGCCGTTTTGGGGCCTCTTGGGGCCTCTTTTGGGCCTCTTGGGCGCCTCTTGGGGCGTCTTGGGGGCCTCTTGGGGGCCTCTTGGGGCCTTTTTGGGGCCTCCTGGGCGCCTTCTGGGGCGGAGGGCTCGATTTTTCAGTTCTCGGTTCCCCTCTTGAGCCCCTCTTGGGCCCGTCTTGGGGCCTCTTGGTCCGTCTTGGGCGGCACTTGGGCCGTCTTGGGGGCCCTCCTGGGCCGTTCCGGGGCCGTCTTGGGAGCCTCGTGGGCCGTCTTGGAGCGGTCTTGGGGGCCTCTTGGGCCGTCTTGGAGCGTCCGGAAGCCGAAAAAGCCAGAACGCAAAAAACATGAAAAAAACAATAAAATCAACGATTTTGGCCTCTTGGGGCCCTCTTCGGAGGCCTCTTGGAAGGCCCTTGGGGCGTCTTGGAGGCCTCTTGGGCTGTCTTGGGGCCCTGTTGGGCGTCTTCGGGCGATCTTTGGCCGTCTCGGGGCCCTCTTGGACCGTCTTGGAGGCTTCTTGGGGACCTCTTGGCCCGTCCTGGGGCCCTGTAACAGGGCTCCGGCATCTCTGGCCCGACCTTGCCGGGACCTTGCCGGGGTACTTTTCGTCCGGGGACCCCCAGGGGCCGCCCCGCGCGCGCGAACTAGAAATACTGTTAACCAGGTACCGGAGATCTTAGCACGCCCTGGCCCGTTGGGCCGGCGAATTTTCAGGTTCCTTCGGTCAACGCCCCGACGGTACACAAGAATCGTCGATCCCCAGGGGAAGTATGGCGCACGGCGCGGGTTCCTTGGATCTGCGCTGGGGGACCCCCCGGCGGCGCCTCCGGCGCTGCCCCTACAGGGCGCGCTCCGCGCACCAGGGAGGGGGAGCGGGCGCAGGCCTGAGAAGTCCGCGCGGGGCGCCAATAGTTTGCGTTTGTGGCCTATTTTCTTCTTCTAGAACCGTCGACCCCCAGGAAAATAGAAAAACACGGGAAGTGGAGGGGAAGACAAACATCCAGAGTGAAAATTCATCGGGGAACCCTGGGATGTGTGCCTAGTTCTTTGTGTGTCCCAGGACCCCTTCAAGAACCGCCGTCCCCCTGCACACCTCATTTGTCGCTGCGCCGTTTGTTTTGAACTCGCGGCCTTGCGTCTTGGGGAGGGCGGCCTGGGCCACCAGGGCAAACGCCGCCTTGGGCGCAGGGCTTGCTGTGAGGTTTGCTGCGGTGCTGGCGTCGTCGCTCTGGGGCGCGGGGCGCAGGGCTTGCCATGGGTTTGCCGCGGCGTCGGCGTCGTCCACTTGGGCGCGTAGAGAACAGCGGGCGCGGCGACTTGCAGTGTCTGGCCTCTCGCCTCCCGCCTGCACTTTTTTAGTGTACGATGGCCCACGCAACCCTCTCTTCGCAACCCTCCGCCGCAGGCGTGTCCTCTCGGCGGCGCGCAGGCGAGGGGCGGGCCTTCCTACCCAGAAGGCGGGGGGCCCTTCCAGACCTGCCGCGCCTCTCGACAGCCACACGCCCAGGACCCGAGCGGCGGAGGCACAGGGCGGCCACAGCGCGCTCGCTCGCTGCCGCCCGTCGCCGCCGCCGTCGCCGCCGGCAGTTGGGCCCGCGTGGCGGCCCGGCCGGCTCGGTGCCGCCCGTCGGCCGCCGCCGCCGCCGCCGCTGGCAGCGTGGCCGCCCGTCGCCGCCCTCTGCCGCCCGTCGCCGCCTCGGGTCGGAGCCGCCCGGGGGGCCGCCCCGCTCGCCAGGCCCCGCGAGCGAGGCCCGCCCAGAAGACCGAGCCTCGGGCCCTCCGGGCGCCTGCCTGGCCCGGCCAGTTGCTCGAGCCGCGCCCAGCAGTGGTGACCGGGGGTGGGCGGGGGTGGGAGGGGGGGGGGGCGAAGACCGGAAGGCCAAGAAAACGGCCCCTCCTTCTACCCCAATCTGTCGACAGCGTGTGCCTCCTTCTCCGAGGCCGTTCTTGGTCGAGCCGCGCGTTCGTCAGGCTCTGCGAGCAAGGGACTGCCCCATGTCCGCGGCGGCCCTGCCGAGCGGCATGAGTGCAACGGCGGCCTTGCCGCGTGGCTTGTACGTCAGAAATACTTTCCTTGACTGCAAGTCGCCCTGGTTCGACACCTTGACCTTCGACGAGCGCCCCCAGTCGGATCCCACCGACGACCGCGTCTCATCCAAGTGGAACTCGGGGAGCATGGCCGGCACCTCGACCTCGGAGGATGCCAGCTCCCTCGGGAACCAGGGGCTCGGAGGGCCCCGCCTGGTGACGGAGGGCGCCGCCCACCAGGAGATGGTGCAGCTCGAGCAGCCGGGCGGGGACCGCACTTCGGAGAAGACCAGGACTCGAGGAGACGCAAACATGGATTACGGTGGGGACCCATGCCAAGAAGCACCCTGCTTGCATCCAGGGTGCCCTGGTTTTCTTAGATTTCGATGGTTTTGCGATGGAAAGCGAGACGCTCCCACACCAAAACTCAATGGACGTCCTGGGGTCTCAGGGTTGGGTTTCTTGTGGAAGGCTTCTTGTGGTCGGGCCTCCACTGTAGGGCGTGTGGACTAGTACTAGTGACGGGTCCCGCTTCCATGCAGAATCGGCGGGTTCCGTCGCGAAGTCGCGCGGCGCAGGCTGCATTCTTCGGGCGTGCCTTCCCCGATCCATTGATCTGACGCCCACGCTCTAGATCCAAGGGTCCGTGATCCATGTCAGCGCTTGCACGAAGGAACCAGCGTCGTCGCGCGCAGCGGAAGCTCATCAGAGCAGTCAAGGCAGGGATTGCGGATACCGGCGACCTCCCCTCGGGAGCTCCCGCCGCTTCCAGCAGCGGCAGCGGCATGGGGGGAGGCACCTCTTGCAAGCTGTCCCTGTGAGCCGCCCCCCTGGGCTGATCGCGCCCCAGTGCAGATGTCGGCCGCTCCGCGCCGCCTCGACACGCGGCGGCAGAGGAAGAACACCCTCTGGAAGCTCGGCAGCAGAAAATCGGCGGCGAGCGAAGGGGGAAGTGAGAAGGAGGAAGTTCGTGCTCGAGGTTCGAGATCTTCGAACTTTTTCGTCGTTTCAGGACGGTTTTCCAGCCTCGGGGTGCGTTCCAGCGGCTGCGCCTCGCCGAGGGCGTTCTGGGGGTGCCCGGATCGTCCCGAACGGCCACCGGAGAGCCGAGTTCTAACCCAAGAATCACAGGCGTCCAAGAAGGAGGAGGCCTTCTCAGAAGGCGGCGGGACTTGTCAGAAGCCCTCGCACCTTCTGAGAAGTCCTCTGCGCCTTCGGGGGGGGCTCACAAGGCTTCTCAGCAGGCTGGGGGACTTCCGAGCCTGCTGAGAAGGCCCGCCCGCCCGTGGCTTTTGAGTCAGAACTCGGCTCCGGTGGCCGTTCGGGACGATCTGGGCTTCCCCGGAACGCCTTCGGCGAGGCGCAGCCGCTGGAGCGCACCCCGAGGCTGGGAAACCGCCGAGGGCCTACGGAAAAATTCGAAGACCTCGAACCTCGAGCCCGAAATGTCTCCCTTCTCGCTCTCTCCCCTGGGCTCTCCGCCGAGTAAAAAGGCGCTGACAGAAGCACCACGTTAGGGCTCAGGAGGGGCTGCGGAAAGAAGCACTGTGGGACACGGTGGCGGAAAGACACAAAACAGCACACAAAAAGCACACACAGTGTGTTTGTTTCCAGTGTGTGTGTGTGTGTGTGTTGTGTGTGTGTGTGTTTGTTGTGTGTATGTGTGTGTGTGTGTTTTGTGCTTGTTGTGTTTTGTGTGTGTGTGTGTGTGGTGTGTGTCTTTTGTGTGTATGTCTGTGCGTGTTTTTGGTGTGTGTGTGTGATGTGTGTGTGTTGTATTGTGTGTTGAGTGGATGTGTACGTATTGTGTGTGTTGATGTGTTGTTGTGCGTTTGTGTGTTTGTGTGTGGTATATGTGGTGTGTGTGCGTCTGTGTGTATGTGTGTTTTGTGTGTTTTGTGTTTTGTGTGCTTGTGTGTTGTTTGTGTGTTGTGTGTGTGTGCTTTGGTAAATGTTATTATAACGCTCTTTTATACTGCTTGTTCCCCTCCCCTCGTGCCGTCCTCTTCTGTGTCTTCTCTCGGCTTTGCCGTCCTCAAGATTTCGGCTCTAGAAGCTTGGGGTCCCAGCGGACCCGAGGGCAGAGCCGTCTCCTTTTGGCAGATTGCACGTGTCGGGCGGCGCCCGACGGCCGGGCCATCCCCAGCGGAGGGCCCAGACCCTCGTCACCACGAGGGCGTGGTGGTACATCGCGGCCTGCGCGGCGGGCTGGATCGGGCCCGACCTCGCGGAGGAGGGCCGCCCGTTCTTCGGGTTCGCGGAGGCGGACGAGCTGGCCGAGAGCGACGGCACGGACTACGAGGACGCTGCGGGGCAGGTGATCATCGTGGGGACGAAGGCGTCGGTCGTCATGGCGCCGTGGGCGCGTTGGAACCGCATCTACCTCAAGACGGGCAGCAGCAGCGGCAGCGTCATGCTGCTGATCAGCAAGATCGGCAAGTCGAACAGCACTCTCTGGACGTGTGCTGACCCGACACTACGGGTCCAGGTCGTCAATGTCCGTGACAGGGACAGGGTTTTCACGAAACCTAGGGTCGGCATCCAGTGGACGGAGCATCCTGGGCTGAGCGCGGCCTCGCGCGACCTCGTGCTGGCGGCCTCGGAGAAGCTCATCGCGAGGCGGGAGCTGGAGGGCGAGGGGGCCGCGCACAAGCCCAGCCCGAAGGCCAAGGCGTCCCCGAAGTCCAAGAAGGCTGGCAAGAAGAAGGAGCACTTCCTGTGGTGGGCTGTCGGGGGCGCCATCAACCTGGTGAGCTTCGTGTGGCTCCGCCGCTCTGGCGGGTTCTGCGTGGCAGCGGGGTTCCTGGGCTGGCGCGCCTGGCGGGCGCTAGGGCTGGGCTCGGCGCTCAAGTCCTTCTACGACATGGTCGTCACGGCAGGTGAAGCGGCTCATGAGGCAGGGCAGTACTACGAGATGGCCGAGGAGATGTGGGAGAGTGGCGAGCTCGAGACGATCGTCACCACCCTGGGCTGCGTGGTGGCAGGCGCCTACGTCTTGTTCTGGATGTTCCACGGCGGTCGCAAGCTCTGGTCAGGAGACTCTGACACGGAGAGTGAGGCCTCGGATTCGGACTACGTGGCGGGGACCCAGGTGGCCGACTCGGACGACGAGCCTGATGCGCGCCACCTCTATGCAGAGCTTGCTAGGGGGCAGTCGGCGCTCCAGGCGAGCGTCGCCTCGTTGGCCGAGGCGATGGCTGGGAAGACGGGCGCCGGCCAGGACGAGCCGTCTACGCCGAAGAAGCCGCCCAGGCGCCTCCACTTCGAGAGCGACAGCGAGGAGCAGCAGCCCGAGAAGCCCTCAGGTACCCAGGTGGACGCCTTCTTGAAGAAGCTGCAGGAGCATGAGCGTGTGGTCTCTGAGGACTCGGGCCGTGCCACCAAGGGGAGTGCGCCGACGTCGGCCTCTTCGACACCTACGAGCTGGGACAAGATCTCCGCGGGATCCGCGGGGGTGCGTGACACCGTGGCGCAGCTCGAGATCGAGGCCCGCAACCCGAAGGACGGGCTGCTCGCCACGCTCAAGTCCTACCGCGAGGTGGACGGGGGGCGTGTCGGGGGGGTCCAGGCTCGGGTCGCGCCGACGGTGCTTGCACGTCTCTACAAGTCAGGGCGGGGCGCTCGGGCCGAGCTGGATGACTGGCTCAGGCAGAAGGAGCTCATCAAGTGCTCCATCGCGTCGGAGGTGTACATGCTCGGGGCTGTCTTGGACAAGATGATGTCGGCGGGCGAGTTCGACTCCCTGATCAACTCACAGGCGGCCGAGCTCACGTGCTTGCGCTTGTACTCGATTTTCAAGGCCTACGAGCTCGTCGAGCAGGAGTCGGACTGGCGACGCCCGAAGTCGGCGAATGGCAGCAAGTGGAAGTCCAAGGTGAACTGGGCCTACGCGGAGGAGTTCCTGGACCTAGCGAGGCAGACCAGCCCTGGCGTGCTGGCGGCGGACGACGAGGTGGCGGAGCGTCTCAAGCGAAAGGCTGCGATCAGCAAGCACCTCGGCGGGCTCGGCGAGGCAGGCGGTCGTGGCCATGCGGACGAATAGGTTGCGGCAGGAGGTTTCACGGCTACCTCTTGCCAAGCCAGCACACAGTGCATAAGTCCGTGTAGCTTGATCGCCCAGAGTCTAGGAAGGTGTTCGACGGCTACGAGGGGTTGGGACTGTCGCGCTGTTGAGCGTGGCTCGGCACGTGTGATCAGTTGCGTCCTGGTGGTCTTCGTCCACTTGTATATCGGGGCGCAGCTCTACCAGACTGTGGGCATCTCTCATCGTGGACTGCATGTCCAGTTGCTCCCCGATGGCTGGGGCTGCTACGTGCGATCGTCAGCGCGATCCACTGCGAGACCTCCCGACGCCGCCCTACGCGGCGATGGCGGGGAGAGATCCCCACTTGACGGAGAAGGAACGCAGGGTGACGTGGCGGAGGCTGGCCAGGGCGACGGCGGCGATAAGGTCTTTGGCTCGAGGGCACTGCAAGGTAGTGGAGGAGCTGAGGGTCGACTATCCGCCATCCACCTGGGCGAGCGCGACGCCGACGCAGAGGACGGTCATCAACGAGCTCTGGTCGAAGTTGGTGCTGAGAGCCGACTGGGGGAGCATCAGCGATGGCAGGGCGGTTCTCGGCCGCCTGGGCGCGGGAAGAATGATGGACTATGGCGGTGTCGGGCAGACGGCACGGACAACTGGACGAGTGAAGAAGGGGGACCTGTGCGACCTCTTGGCGGAGCAGGTGTCTGTCCCTCGACGGGGCGTCAGGGGCCTACCCATATCGAAGCTGTCGGCGGCCGCGACCCCCTACCTGGAGAACGTGGCGGGGCTCATGCTGAGGACGGACGACGAGATCGACTGGGTCAAGTATCGGGGGATGACGAGCTACTGCGACCCAGGGTGGAGGAACAAGAAGAACCGTCTGGAGCTGAGCCTACGCATGTGGGAGGGGGGAATGTTGTCGTACGTCGACCACATCGAGGAGAAGGTGGGCGTGTTCACGGTGGTGAAGAACCTGAGTCAGGACGGCGAGGGCCGAGTGGAGTCATCGCGGCTCGTCTGGGACTGCCGGCGTCTCAACTTGAGGTTTCGGAGGCCGCCGTGGACGGGACTGGGGTCACCGAGTGCGCTGAGTTCTCTGGATTTGTCTCCCGACGTGCTGGGTACGAAGGAGCTCTTCTCGTTCGCGGGGGACATTCCAGATTGGTTTTACAGGCTGAGATGGAACAGCAAGTTGGCGGAGTTTTGTGTGCTGGAGGACGTCTCCCCGAGGGAACTGTGGAGGTATTCCTGCGAAGTGGGGAGGCCGATAGAGGAGCCCTTGGGGACGAGCGTGGGTGTTGGAGCCATCGCACCCGTGATGGGTCATTCCTGGGCTGTCTTCTTGGCCCACTCCTGCCTCACCGAGTGCCTCAGGGACGTGCAGGGCTACGAGGTGGCGGAGCTGGCGTATGGGCGCCCGACCCCCTCCTTCGAGAAGGCCTCGCTGATCCTGATGCTCTACATCGACGACTACATCGGTTTCAGGATCCTGGACGCGAAGGACGGCGACATCCAGATAGACAAGGACATCGTCAAGGGCTCTCTCGAGGCGAAGGGTCTGCAGGTTCACAAGGAGGACTGGGGGCCTGGGATGACGAGGGGGTTGGGCCTGACTATCCGAGGACGGCCATACACCGTGATGATACAGCCCGAGAAGATGAAGGAGCTGGTCTTGGCGACGGAGGCCATCGTGATAGCTGGGAGCACCACACCATCGCGTCTGTCGTCTTTGCTGGGGATGTGGACCTGGTGTCTTATGATCTCTCGGTCTGGCTTCGCGATCCTCAGCGCGATCTACTCGTGGGTGCAGGAGCACATGGGGAACGAGTGGGACGTGAAGCTGAGGCTCCCCCAGGACGTCGTGTCCGAGCT